GTAAACAAACTTTAATCTTGTTTGATTCACTGTGTCTGAGGATCACCACATCTGCACCCTCCATGGTAGGTAAGCTCCCAGAAGAAACGACATTTAAACTAAAACCTCAAATTACTAGAATAAACAAGTTGAGACAGATCTGATTACTCATATCTGCGATCCCAGCACTCAGGGAGCCGAGGAAGGAAGAGGAAGAGTTGGAGGCCAGCCTGGGCTACATCCTGAGAGCCTGTCTCAAAGAGTAAAAATGAAAGAATAAACGTCCTACAGAGAATAAGAGGAAGGACACTTAAGGTTAGAATGATTTTGACAAATGAGTGTTCTTCGGGATGGGCTCAAGTAGAGGTTTAAAGACCAGTGTGGTGGTCAGTTTTAATTGTCACTTGGGAAGACTGTCTAGATGGGCTGTCTTGAGGGCTTATCTGTGGCTAATTGTCATGACTACCTTAACTGAGCTGGGATTACCTAACCTACTGTGGGGCATCTCCACTCCTTAGATTTACTCCCTGACCTGTTAAAGAGTAGAGAAATTGGATCTGTAAAGGTATCTCAGCCGTGAAGAACATTTGTTGCTTTTTATAGAGGATGGGGCTCAGTTCCCGTCATCAGTGGAGTGGACCACAACTGCCGATGTCCTTCCAGGCTGTCTTCCAGCCTTCATGAATTTGTGTGCACCAGAAATCAATTGGTGTGCACAAATTCATGAAGACATTCATTAAAAAGGTGTGTGTGTGAGAGAGAAAATAGAATCTTAAAAAGTAGAGAAATGAAGCTGAGTCTAAGTGAAGGATCCATAGCCATTCCTCTCTGCTCTTCACTGTGGGTATAACTAGATGCTGTAAGTCCCAGCCAATGCGACGCCCCAGGGACTGCACTGGAATAGAGAGCAGAAAAACCCCTTTCTCCAGTAAGGTGGGTTTTGTTTTGTTTGGCCCAGGTATTTTAGAAATGAAACTAGGATAGCTAAATTAACCCAGGTGTTTTTTTATTTTATTTTTTTTCAGGACAGGGTTTCTCTGTGTAGCCCTGGCTGTCCTACAACTTACTATTGTACCAGGCTGGACTCAAACTCAGGGATTTGTCTACCTCTGTCTCCCAAACACTGGGATTAAAGGTGTTCACCCCCAATCCCCCCACCCCACAGTCCCACATAGAGTTTTAAAAAGTGTGATAGTAAGTCTGCGGAGAATTTTGCTAAGTGTCAAAATTAGGCTTATATTCTAAGAATGCCACTTTGTGCCTGAGGCCAATGGGAAGACACCGGTTACTGCACCAGGCCAGGGAACTTATTCCTGGGCTCAGTGTGATGATGGGAGGAGGGAAGACAGAGAAAAGAGCAGATCTTTGAAATAGTCCAGGTGCCCGACAAGCCCTATAACTGATGGCATGTAAGGAAATACGGGAAAGGGAAGATCAAGGATGCCTTCGGGTTTGTGGTTCATAAAGAGCCAAGGAGGTCAGCTAGGGTACTTGAGAACAACTGGGTTTTGTATTTTCGTGGGGAGGAGGCAGATTTTGCTATTAAAAGAAACATCTTTTTAGGTACGTTAGTATCTAAATGCTGCCCGTTCGGCCTTCAAGTAGTCAAACAGGCATGTACCTCAAAGATCTAGAATGAAAGGGAAAAATGCCTGGGCTGAAGATAGAAATCAGAAAGGTATTTATAAATGGAAGGGTCATAAAAAGTATTAACTGGATAAAGCAGGTCACCTGGGAAGGATTGTACATAGAGAAAGGCAGAGCAGAGGGTTCCAGCTTTTTATCTCGGGAAGGAAAGTCAAAGAGAAGACTATCACAAGAGCCCAGCGGAGTGTTCCACGGGGGGAGGGGGGGGACTGGGGATATGGTCTAGCATGCCTGAGGCCCTAGGTTCAAACCCCAGCTTTGGGGGGGGGGGTGTACTACATCACAAGCTATTCAGAGTGGGCCTTGAAAAATATCATTTTATTTAATTCCTGGAGATAAAAACCCATTTCTGGGATCTGAAGGAGCAATGGATAGACAATCTGTCTTGCCATCTTTTGGGGAGTTTTACAGAAAAACAAAAAACAATGGGTGTTAGCAGAAGGGAGAAATAGAGTTAGTAAGAGGTTTCAGAATTGGGGATTGAACTGCCAGAAAAAATGGCTCGGTGGGCAAAGGTGTTTGCCACCAAGTCTGATGACCTAAGTAAATTTGATCTCTGGGACCTCTTCCCAAAGTTGCCCTCTCTGCTCCATAAGATGAGGACAGACACTCACTTTGGAACAGCGTGTGTTTGGCATATGGGAACTCTGGGCTCAACCCCAGTTTCTCTCCACCCAAACTGTTAAGACAGGAGTGAATACTAAAGAAAATGAGTGGGTATGAACCTGGCACTTAGGAGACAGGAGCAGAGGGGTCCCAAGTTCAATACCAAGCCTAGGCTACATAGTTCGAGTCCTTGGCTTTAATTCCTAGGACGAAAGCAAAAGGGGCTGATGACAAAATGTAAGGACTTCTGAAAAGAACTTTGCTTTTTATTTTATATGCATGAGTGCTTGCCTGCACCGATATTTGTGCAGCCTGTGCTTGCCTGAGTCCACAGAAGTCAGAAGAAGGTGTGGGATCTCCTGGAATTGGAGTTACAGATGGATATGAACCAGCATGTGTATACTGAGAATCAAGCCTCATCCTCTGGAAGGGCAACAACTCCTTTTAACAACTGAGCCATGTCTCTAATTTTTTTTTTTAAGTGGGAAAGAATGGTTATTAAAAGAAAGAGACTAGTTTAAGAATGATAGTAAATAACTTCTAGACTTACTCAGTTTTGTGAAATATAAGCAAAACCTAACTACCTTGGTTAAAAGCACAAGTGATTTGAGCTTCAATAGAACACTGGCTCTCAAGAAAAATGGTATGTCTTACAAAGAAACAAAGCAATTCAGTGACACTAGTTACATTATCCTGCCTCAAATTAACAATGTTTTACCAGCCAGGCACTCAGGAGGCAGAGGCAGGCCTGTGAGTTCAAGGCCAGCCTGGTCTACAAGAGCTGGTTCCCAGGACAGGCTCCAAAGCCACAGAGAAACCCTGTCTTGAAAAACAAAACAAAAAGCAATGTTTTACCTTGCCGAGATTCTTGGCACTTTCATTAACTTAAATTAAGTTGGGAAAAAGCATAATACTAATTGGAAAAGAAACTAATTATAAGTAATTGTAAGTCAAATTATATTTATACCACAATTAGTGTTTGAGGTGGTTTAGTAGGCAGTCTTTGCTTCAATAAGCAACCATCAAATAATTGAACAGCTTGTAAAACACAGAAATACTCCTTTAATCTTTATTCCAAATATAACCACATGGTCCTTGGATTACTATTATAATAAATGACATTTATCATATTCTGTCCTAAGCCCCAGTTTGAGTTAGATGTTTTTAAAACTATGGCAAAAGAAATATATGTACCTAACTCACCACACAGCTTCTTAACATACTTCATAGACCTGTGAACCCATGCTCTTGTAAGAGAAGAGCCTTCAGGGTAAGAGTTTTGCAGTGGCGTTTATTTTCTCTAAGGACAATAGGGAAAGATTGTCTTTCAATGATAGCATTTCCTTTTTTATTTCTTTCTTTCTTTCTTTTTTTTTTTTTTTTGTTTTGTTTTATTTTATTTTATATTCTTTCTTTGTTTTTGAGACAGGGTTTCTCCATATTTTCGGAGACTTGTCTTGGAACTAGTTCTATAGACTAGTCTGGACTCGAACTCAGAGAAATCACCTGCCTCAGCCTCCGGAGTGGGATTAAAGGCATGTGCTACTAACGCCAGGCTCAATGATAGTTTTTTTTTTTTCTCTAATTTACAAAATTGGAGACTTCCTCCATCCCAGTATTCATAGGGACGAATACTTAGGAAAGTAACATAACTTTGCTATCATCTTTTGCTACTTAAGGTTAAAAAAAAAAAAAAAAAAAAACTAATTCGACGCTTGACCCCTAATTTACACTTTAATTTATCATTAGTCAAAACCCTTGGGTACCTGTTTATACTATTATTATATATCCGTGAAAATCTTCTTAGGCGTTTGAGACAGTAAATTTGCGGGGTGGTGGTGATTGAAATACTTTGAATTAGTTCATCTCTTTTAAGAATAGTCAAAGAAAAACATTACCAAATAACCCCGTGTTGCACTTAATTAAGCTAGTTCCTGGAAAGTTTTGCAAACTAAAGCTCCAGCAGTTGACTTACTGGATCACGGGTTGATAAAGGAGGCTGGCTAGCCAGCTCCTAAGCTAGGCGAGGCTCACGGTGGGAGGTAGGCAGCGCCGGAGCCCTCCAAGGCTGGGCGCCACGTTGCTCTCCTCTTTTCAAATAGGAAGACAGCGCTTCTGGCTATTGTGTAAACCCGTCGAGAGCTGCACTCATTCCCACATCAGATAAAGCAGGAGCCGAATTAAAGCGCATTCCAAGCCGACCCTGGGCAACGCGTACGTCACCGACAAACGCTGAGTTTGATTGCCTTGGCTGCGTTCGTCTCAAGGAAACCCATAAAAGAGTGGTTAAAAAAAAAAAAGAAAAGAAAAAAAAAAAACAAAGAAAGAAAGATAAAACCAAAGCCCTCGGCTGAAGCGGGGAACTGCATCCCAGCCAGCACGCCACCCCAGCGGCGGCCACCGCCCCCGCCGACAGCCGCTAGGCTCCCTCGTGCTCGCGGTAACCAGCCGTGTGCAGCGTGGGGCAGCCTCGTCTAAGAGCGGCTCCCCCACACCAGCTCTACAGGCAACCGCAGCGTCCCGAGTCCCCCCGGCCGGCCAAGAGCGCGGTCTCCCGCTCGAGGGACAGCGGCAGCTCCATCTGCAACCGAGCTGCGGGCCCCCTGCACTCCCGGCAGGCCCGCCCGCCAGCCGGCCAGCCGGCCAGCCAACCGGCGCTCGGCGACGTTTGACTGACAGGGAGCTGCCCCTATGAGGCCCGAGGGCGGGGCGTGCGCGTCACTTCCTGTGCCGGCGGGGAGGACGCCTTATATAAGGTGTGCGCTCACGCAGCGCCCTCGCTTACACAGTATGGCCGGCGACATTAGCTAGCGCTCGCTCAACTCTCTCTAACGGGAAAGCAGCGGACTACAAGAGACTGAACCGTATCTGCCTCTATTTCCAACAGACTCACGTTCAACTTTCGCTCACGAAAATAGCCGGGAAGATTTTTTATTAGTCCTTTTTTTTAAAAAAAAAAGTTAATATAAAAATTATAGCAAAAAAAAAAAAAAAAGGAAGCTGAAGTTTAGCAACGCAGCTGGAACAATCCGCAGCGGCGGCGGGAGCGGCGGGAGAAGATTTTAATTTTAGTTGATTTTCTGTGGTTGTTGGTTGTTCGCTAGTCTCACGGTGATGGAAGCTGCACATTTTTTCGAAGGCACCGAGAAGCTGCTGGAGGTCTGGTTCTCCAGGCAGCAGTCCGACGCGAGCCAGGGATCTGGGGATCTTCGCACCATCCCGAGGTGGGTGCCGGGGCCGCCTGCGACCCTGCAGGCTCGGCCTCAGGTGGGGCCGCCCGGGCCGGCGGGCGGGAACCGGCTTCTCCCGCCGCCGTTGCGGGGCCGCCCGCGCCGGGGGGGAGGGGGGGAGGGGAGGGAGGCCGGCGCGGCCGCGTGCTCAGGTGACGCCGCCGGCGGGTGGCGGGGCCCGGGCGGGGGGCGCTCGGGCCTCCCGGCAGGTGTGGCGCGGGGCTGGGCGGGCCTGGGCCGCGGGGGCTGCGAGCAGGCCTCGGGCGGCGGGGTGGGGCGGGCGCGGCCGTGTCGCAGTGCTGGGCCCGACGTGCCCTGCAGCGGAGCGCCCCGGGACCCTCCGGGGCCGGCGGTCTGCTGACCTTGGGTTGTGTAACCTGTTACGGAGGGCAGGTCCGGGGGAGCGCGGGGGCTGGAGCAGAGCTCGCCTGCTCCCGCCGGGTGACGGCCGGGCAGCCCGAGGATCTGTTCAATGCCTTAAGCCTGGAGCGAAGGGACCGGGCGGCCCCACGCGGCGTCGCGCGAGGAGCTGTTGGGGGTTCCCTGCGGAGAATCGAGTCGCGCACCCGAGTGAGTGCAGCTGGTGCTGAGGATGCGTGCACCCGGCGGCGGCGGCACCGGCTGGGGGCCGGGACGCGCGGGCTCCGCCGCGATCCTCGGGGCGCTGGGGTGGCGGAGGAACCGGCGTGGTCCGGTTCATTGGAGAGGCGGACCAATGAGCTCCTGGGCCCCTTCGGGAGCCTGGCCCCAGGGTGTGGACCAATGGGCGTTTTAGGAATGTTGGTTGCGCGTTGCAACCGTCTTCTGACAAAAAGCGAGAAGCGAATCCCGGCGGCCACGTGCTGCAGACACTTTAGGGCACACTGGGAAACGCAGTTCCTACCAGTTGCTGCGGAGGTTTCCATTGTAGGTAGGGGAGATGCAGCTGCGGCCTTGTGGTCTGTTCCCAAGGCTCGTCTGCCATGTGTGCCATTTTCTGTTAACATGTTTTCACGTTAATTTCACAAGGATCACGGAGGAGCTGATCCCTTTCCACAGATGGAAAACTGGTGGTGGTGATGGGCGTCTGGGAAAGCTAGTGCTGTCGGGATTATTTCGTAGGTCTTGGTACGAACTGAATGGTGCGCTAGGAAATTACAGAAACATTCGAAAGCCTGAAATGACCTGTAACACCTTTAATAAAAAGAAGATTGTTTTCCCCAACTTAGAATGGGGCTCTAGAAATGGCTCAGTGGATAAGATGCTCTTCCGGGAGGATCCGGATTTGATTGCCGGCACCCACGTAGCATCCTACAACCATATTGTTAACTCTGGTTGGGGGGGGCCTGACGCCCTCTTCTGACTTCTGTGGGCATTGCACACGAGCAGTACAGGCCTACAAGTAGGCAACACCCATACAAATAAACTTGGGTGAGCGTTCTATGTGCCTGTTTAAAGTGTGGAGGGGAGGCCTTTTTTAAAAGAACAAGCTACTTCCAAGTGCTTGAAAACCTCAATTACTTTGTGTACAGCAACCAAGCAACTGAAATTTTTACTGCATCAGTGTGCTTTTTACATGCTTCGTAGATTTTTAACACACATTCATAAGCACTACTCTACAGCTGGCCTTAAGTAGTAGCTGAAATTTGTTCGAGAGCGCTGAAAGCTCATGATTTTTTTCAGTGACTGATTAAAAAATGAAGTCATGCACTATGAGGCTTTTAAAGAAGTGTCTGTAAAGCAGTAGGTGGTAGATAAACCTACCTAGGCAGTGTCTTAACAAGGAGTCTTTTGTAGGAGCCCTGCATCACTTCTGAAATAAACAATAACCATGGGGTAATAAGATTAAATAAACTAATACTTGAAGGTGTTAACAGTTTTTGCTTCTGTTCTCCCGGGCTGAAGCTGGGGAAGAAAACAGTATTAGTGATATAAAACGCTGTGTATTAAAAACATAGCAATTCGATGTTTGGTTTTTTTTTTTTTTCTCTTCTCCCCGAGATAGGGTTTCTCTGTATTGCTTTGGAGTCTGTACTAGAACTAGCTCTGTGTACCAGGCTGAACTAGAGATCCGCCTGCCTCTGGGATTAAAGGCGCTTGCCACCAATGCCAGCTCAGGCCTGCTAGTTTTAAGAAAGACCCAATTGGACTATTTTTGCTTTCCAGCAAAAGCAGGAAATATATATTCAGATGAAGACTTGAATTTTAATAGCATTTTTGTGATAACTTCCAAACTGGAAACAGTTCACTAAAGGGAGGTGGTTAGAGATTGGTGGCACACCAATCATGCAGCAGGATGCTACCCAACAATAAATGAGCCACTTATATATACCACATGAGTATGCTGAAAAGAAGCCAGGCAAGCGTACATGCTGTAAGATCTCATTTCTGTAAAACAGGTGCAAACTAATCAGACAAAACTGGTCAGTGGTGGACTGGAGGCCTTAAAAGGGAGGGATGGATTGCAAAGATGCAGGAAGAGCCTTTCAAGAATGCATTGCTGGGTCAGGGGGTGGTGGCTCACGCCTTGAATCCCAGGACTTGGGAGGCAGAGGCAGGTGGATCTCAGAGTTTGAGGCCAGCCTGGTCTACAGAGTGAGTTCCTGTAGGCAGAGGCAGGCAGATTGAAGACTTGTCTTCAAAGGCAAGATCCAGGGTGGCCAGGGGCTACATAGACACACATATAAGGATGTGTTGCTGAATGAAACACATCTTTTTGTGTTTGTAAATTTCAGTCTTGCAAAAATTTAGTTGTCAAAGGTATTTGCTGAGCAAGCCTGGGAAATCTGAATTTCTTTATCCTAGAATCTCACATGAAGTTGGAGAGAAACACTTCTCAAGAGTTGTCCTCTGATGGACACTAGTACATTGTGGTATGCATGCCAGGCACACATACACAATAATGATAACATTTGGTGGGTGTTGTGACATGCCCCATAATCCTGGGGCTTAAATACAGAGGCCATGGATCTGTATGAGCTTGCCACTTGCCTGGTCTGCAAAGTGAGACCCAGACCCTGATGACACCACCCCCCCATCCCCCACCCACTGAATTCAGTCTTGTATCTTTTTGGAGATGCTGTTTAGGAAGTAACATGAACTTTGGATTCACTTATCTTTTTCTTTCATTTTGTTTTATTTTTGAGGTGGTGTCTTATTTGTATGCTACAGCCAGTCTTCTTGCTGGGATTTGAGGTTTGTGCCACTTGCTGAGCCTACTACTAACCTGTAATCCCGTCGGGAGACTGGGGCCTTAGGATTTCAGGGGCTTAATAGGGTTAGTGTAGGCAAGAGACCTAGGGCTGACAAGGTAGATCGCTCACATCACAGTTGGCTAAGTTCTAGGACTTGAACTTGATCCCTCTAACCCAGTACAGAACCTGTGTCTGTTTTTTAAGTTTGTACTTGTAACCATGCCAAGGGAGGCAGGGGCAGGTAAGAGATGGGCTGAATAATAATAAACCCTGTGTGAAGGAAGACAGACACACTCCTAAATTATCATCTGCCTACCGTGCTTGTGTCCCTTACAAGGGTGCACACATTAAGTTTAGTTTGGGTAAAGTTTTCCCTGATAACTATTTTAAAACCCTATTTTAAAAATCTTTGCTAATCTCAATCTGGAAAATGTTTCTCTGGTGAAGGTTTTTAGAGTATTTAAAGTGCAGGGACCATGGGCGTGCATAGGCTTTGGTTATTATTATGGGGGTGCACTTGAATTTGGTGCTGGTAGAGGTAAGAAGGGATTGTCAAGGTTATCAGAAATCCTCCCGTTTCTGCATACTGAGTGCTGGGACTGAAGTTGTGCCACCAGGCCTGACTCCTGATCCATCTCCTCCTCCACCCTCCCCTTTTTGTTAAGCGGCTCTGAGCTCACTTGTTATTTATTTGACTGCTGTCATACGGTATTGAAGTGTGGTGGTGGTGTACACATTAAATCCCTCAACTTACAATGCATTGCCAGAAACCCTTTAGTTTGATGAGTGGCTCCCTGCTCCAACTACTGCTGTGTTGTACTGCGCTATTTTTTGGCTCTGTGGGTCAAATACAAACTTGGGTGCTATAGTGCACTGAGTCACACTGTTGCCCCAGCTCTCTATCTTAAGCATGCATACACTGAAGTCGCACCAGAGAAAATAATGAGTTATGTTTAGATGCTTGGTGCCCTTGGAGGCCGGAAGGCAGCATCAGATCCCCTGGAACTGGAAGGGGGGCCAGTTGTGAGCAGTCATAATAACTGCTGTGTTTGGTTACTTTTGACACAAGAACGACCTCAGAAACAGACTGTAGTCAAGCAGTGTGCTCGCTAATTTGGTGGCTTCTGTTGAATTTTAAACAGTGACTTGGTAAACTGAACTTTGAAACCAGCCATTTTACTTGGGAAGTGATATGTAATGTAATCAGATTTGTAGATTACGATCTCTGGCTGCCTTTCTCAGATCTGACCGTAGAATCCCTGTACCATCGTTTCTACTAACTTTTAGTGACTGGAGTGTAGCTCTCCTCTTGGTCTGATTTCATTCTGTCTGCCTCCTGGTGCTGTTGTTTCCTTGTGTAGGTTTTAGCTTGTGAAGCCGGGCACCAGGCATGTATGTTGGGCACTCATATCCAAAATGTAGTACAAATAATAAAATATCCAGAGTCAAATATGGAGGTTAAAGCTGAAAATCAGTGAAGCAAAGCAGACAGCCACTAGGTCTTACCTCAGACTGAAAGTGATCGGGCTCCACAAATCCTCATCTGGCTGCAGACTGAAAGCCAAATACCTGACTGAGACCCTGAGCTCACCAGTGCTGGGATTAAAGGTGTGTACCACCACTGCCTGACCCCTGTGTCTGTGGCTAGCCTTGCATACTTTTCTCCAGACAAGCTTATTAGGTCATAAACTACATCACCACAGCAGAATAAGTCTCTTAGAGATAGTCTGTAACATATGTATACCTAATGCAGTATAAAATGATAAATAGTAATGATGTGGAGCAAAAATGAAGGTCTGTAACGTTCCATGTGGGGTTTGGGAGTCAGCCCAGTCCTGTGAGAGTAGGCAGTACTTACCCATTGAGCCATCTCCCCGGCCCCTCCTCCTGACTTAGGTGGAATGGTAGAGTGTGTGACTGCTTAATGTTAATGCGCCCCCATTCCTGCATTTGATGGAGTTTCTCCCCCCCCCTTTTTTTTTTTTTTTAAGCTATTATAAGTTATACTGGGAGTCTAGTATTCTTCTGGATGTGCTGGGGTGGGGTTCTATACTGTTTCCATAGTAGCTGCTCACTTTGAGGAGAGCTGGAATTGGGTCTTGTATATGTGAGACTGGCCGGGCAGAGCTGCTCTAGCCTCTGCACTGCTGGGTGATGAATAAGCATGCTGTGAGCATATTCACAGGTGCCTTGTCTGGACAGCTCAGTTCTATTGGTGGGGTCCAAGTAACTGCTTCCTCCATCTCAGCAATCCAGCAGGCTTCTTCCTCAACTAGCAGTGATGCTTAGAGTAGTAGCCCTGGTTTTTTCTGTCGTGCAATGAAATGTCGTAGCTATGAAGGTACATACAGCCAGAGGCTCAAAGAAAGAAATCATGTGGCAAGAAGAATTTCTGTGGAAAGATTTATATACCTACTTTTATAAATAATGCCTTATTGGGACCTACAGTAAGTAGTCTGTTCCTGTATAAATAACATCTATGGTTATTTTTGTCTAGTAAAGTCAGAACTGGGTAGTTTAAGTACTCCTTTATCTGCTAGCTGACTTTTTTTTTTTTTTTAAGAGGGGAGGTTTTATTGCTATCCACGTGCAGGAAGATGACAGGACTTTATAGTTGGCTAAGACGTTTCTGAGTTAGGTGTTTATCTGTTTAGGAAGTTCAGTGGAGGTGGTAATAATGGTTGAAGGTGTGTGCTTTATTCCTAACCCTGTACCAAGATTACTAGTCTATATGAACTGTTTCGCCAAGTTGGTCTGTTATAAGTCTTGATAGTACAGATTTTAAGCATAGCATTCAAATAGCCAGCAAAGCCAACCCATTAGGATCACATACTAGTTTAATGATTAGAAATGATTAAATCATTGAAGCTTAATGAAAACAAATAAGATGTCCTATGTGTATGTAGGGTGGGTTGGTTGGCTGTTTTGTGTTTTCTCTCTCTCTCTCTCTCTCTCTCTCTCTCTCTCTCTCTCTCTCTCCTCTCTCTGTGCCTTGGCTATCCTGGAACTAGGTCTTGTAGACCAGGCTGGCCTTGAACTCACAGAGATCTACCTGCCTCTCCGCCTCCCAAATGCTGGGATTAAAGGTGTGAGCCATCAATGCCCAGCTATGGAAGTAACTTTAAATAATTAAAAGAGCTGGGTGTCAGCTTACACCTTTAATCCCAGCATTTAGGAGGCAGAGGCAGACTGATCTCCAAGTTCAAAGCCAGCCTGGTCTATAAAGCAAGTTGGGACAGACAGGGCTGCACAGAGACCCTGTCTCAAGTTGAAACAAAAAAGATTGTGATTTTTAAAAAGTACATATTCTTTGCTTATGAGAGTAAATGGAGGGTTGGAGAGATGATTCCATGGTAGAGCCATGGCTGCTGTTCCGGTAGACACAGGTTGGATTCCCCGCTGTGGCAGCTTAGAACCATGTGATGGCCTCTCTTGGCCTCTGGGAACTATACACATGTTGTATGCAGACACATTCGGGCAGGATAGCCTATGCACATAAAATAAGTAAGTTTTTTAAGTTAAAAGGGGGTGGGTGGGTCAGTGTGGTGACACACTGTAATAAGAGGCAGGCAGACTTCTGAGTTGGGGGCCAGCCTGTGTACGTAGAGAGTTCCAGGCTAGTCAGGGCTACCCAGTGAAACACCGAAATAAATGCTGTCTCATTGTCTGTTTAAAATCTGTCTTCTTAAGAGACTGGAAATAAAACTCAGTGGTAGAGTGCTTGCCTTTCACGGTTCCATCTCTTAACAATGGAGGACAAAGAGTAAAGTCGTAAAGTCTGGTAGAAATCGTGCTGTTGTTAATTGTGGGTTTTGTTGAATAACAGATCGGAGTGGGATGTCCTTTTGAAGGATGTGCAATGCTCAATCATAAGTGTGACGAAGACTGACAAACAGGAAGCTTATGTACTCAGGTGAGTCCTAAGAGATCATCCACCTTTGTGAAAAACCACCCTTCTCTCCAGAGTCTGTTTTCCTGTTTTATGAATGTGGTAGGAAGTGTGATTGTCTTGTTTGTAGATAGGATTTCTTAGGCCTTGCCTAGCTGCTCTTAGTGACAATTGCCATGTTTTCCACATAGTTAACAGCAGTGTCTGTTGGATGAAAGAAAAACATTGTATTCTAATACCCACCCCACCCCCTCTGCCCCAATTTCTGACAAGGTACGAAATTTTGCTTCATTACATCGAGTTGTTGTATTAGTATATAAAGGCCATTAACCTTTTAAAATTGGGTACAAGGTTGCTTTAACCAATAAATGCTCGGAATGCTTGGCTTATACTGTGGTCCTTGGGCCTTACATTAAATAATGTAATATCTGATTTTTTTTAACCAAGTCTGTTTGGCATATACAAAAGTTTGTCAAAATGCTTACTGTGCGCCGTGCCAATTATATAATGATGTACAAAACTACAAGGGCAGTGGTGTCCAAGAGAAGGTAAAGTTACTTATTTAGTAAATAGTGGTTAGTACATATATACCAGCCATTACTTGGCTAGGCTGCTGTATTGTATCCAGGCATAAGAATGAATGTGAATACTATTTACTCTAAAGAAAAAAAGAAAATTAGACTAGGAATGTATTTAAGCAAGGTCACATAATCTCAGGGGTAATGCATGTACTCCCACGTGTTGAGACCCTAACCAGTAATTGTGTATGTGTGTTTAGAGAGAGGAGAGTAAACATCAGGAGATGTGAGGATGACTAACGTTTTTTCTAGTTCTGGTTTGTTGTGGACTGTTAGGTTTCGGTGGATAAGTACGTGATGCTGATGAGTGCAGTCTCAGTGGCACACGCTGAGGTGATGCCCTTGTGCTCTTCTCTTACAGTGAGAGTAGCATGTTTGTCTCCAAGAGACGTTTCATTTTGAAGACATGTGGTACCACCCTCTTACTGAAAGCACTGGTTCCCCTCTTGAAGCTTGCTCGGGATTACAGTGGGTTTGACTCGATTCAAGTAAGTGCTCTCGGACACTGTTCAAAACTGATTGGTGATAGTGGCTTCTGTTTGCCTGGATTTACATATTTTACGTCAAAGAAAGGGCTGTCATTAAAATCTTGGGATTTTGGTTTCTTTGCGCCTGTGGTTGGGCCTGAACTCAAGGCTTCCACATATGCTAGTCAGATGTACTTGGTCTGTGCTTCTGACCCCATTAATAGACACTATATTTATTTTATTCTGCATTCCAGCTTAGAAAGAACGTTGCAGTAGCGAAAATGTACATATTCGTATCATTCTGGTAGCTCATTTGTGTGCTTCATTCACAATTGCAACTTGAAACGTTTGTAAAGTTTTTTTGCTGTCTTTTCTATGTGTGTAGGTTAAAAACACATCTTAAAAGATCTCTCTCTCTCTCTCTCTTTAAGAGCTTCTTTTATTCTCGTAAGAATTTCATGAAGCCTTCTCACCAAGGGTACCCACACCGGAATTTCCAGGAAGAAATTGAGTTTCTTAATGCAATTTTCCCAAGTAAGTAGAAATAGAACATAGTAATTCTTGTCCTTTATTTTTTCCTGTTTGGTTGGTTGGTTGGTTTTGGTTTTTTCCGAGACAGAGTTTCTCTGTGTAACAGCCCTAGCTGTCCTGGAACTCACTCAAGGTAGGGACACAACCATTTTAGGGGTAGATTGGTTTGTTGTTGTTGTGTGTTGTCATTGTTTTTGTTTTTCTGTTTACCTGGATAGTATAAAGATTTCAGACAAATTTAAGTTGTATTGTACACTTACAAACATAATGTTAGTGCTGGTAAGATGGACAGAATGTCCCGGGAAGCAAGGCAATGTGGCATGTGCCTGTAGTGTAGTCCTAGTTACTAAGTGGACTGAAGGAGCTCCTGAGCCCAAAGATTCAAGGCCAGTCTGGGCCAGATAACGAGAGCTTGCTTCAAAACTGCAGCTGGAGAGTGCACAGTTGTAAGTTGCTTGTTACACAAGGGTGCAGAATTGCTCTCCAGTACCTGCATTTATTTATAAGAGCAAACCAGCCAGCTGTGGTGGTGGGAGTTTGTAAAGCAGAGACTTTAGATTGATTCTGCCGCTCATGGCCTAACCTGTTCTGCAGACTTGAGGCCAGTGTCTCAGAAATGACATAGGTGGCTCTATCTCTAAGATAGCTTAGTGACGTCGCAAAACAACTTACAGGAATGAGTCTAAAGGTGAAAATGTGAGGGGTAAGGTGTGTGTAGCTCACATGGTGGTGAATGCACACTTAACAAGTGTGTGAGGCCCTAAATTTGATCTTGAACACTTGAAGAAATAAAAAGACTTCAGACATTTGACAATAATTTATGACCTCAAGTACTACACGTGTCATTTCCAAGTTGGTTTACTGTGCTAAGGCAGCTCTTGAAACAGTTTGGGGAGGGTATGTAAGTAAAACGGCTTATATTAATTAGAAGAATAAAAAAAGTATCCAGTTCTCTGTCCTGTGGGAGTTGTGTGAAGGTGAACTGTGTATTCTCAACAATTTAGGTCCATCTACAAATAAGAATGTCCGTGTTGGACAAGGAAAAAAATGTGTTTCAGAGCAAAGGGGAAGGACAGGGTGAAGTGAGCTCTTGTAGGGGCCTGGGTTTGGTTCCTGGTGCCCACACTGTGGTGGGTCTGACCTGTGGGCACACAGTACTGTGTGTGCCAGCAAACTCACATATGCAGCAAACCTTTAAACAGGAGACCTAAGGAGAAGACTTTTCCTCCTTAGAATTCACCCACTTTGATTTTATTTCCCTTCACTGATGGTGTGGGGTTGTTTGGTTGGTTGGTTTTTCAACACAGTTTCTCTGTATTGCTTTGGAGCCTGTCCTGGAACTTGCTCTGTAGACCAGGCTGGCCTCAAACTCACAAACTCGCTGCCTGCCTGCCTCCCGAGTGCTGGGATTAAAGGTGGGGTGCATCACCAACACCCTGCTCACTGATGGTGTTTTAATAGGTGGCAATAACACTGTTTACTGAGTGGCTGATAATGAACTGTCGTATTCTGTGGATTTTTTTTTAAAGTATTTTCTTTCCTCACAGATGGAGCAGCATATTGTATGGGGCGTATGAATTCTGACTGTTGGTATGTAATTTTTTTTGTTTGTTTTTTTGTTTTGTTGCCCATGTATGGGTTTTTTGAGGCAGCAGCAGTATTGTTTTAAGCTAGACCTGCCAGCCCATGCTTATTAATCCTAGCTACTCTGGAGGCTGAGGTAAGAGGAACAAGGCAGCAGAGGCAGCATATATAGTAAGACAAAATAAAAAGGGGAGGATGGGAGGTGTGGTTTGGAGGTAGAAGGAGTGTGTGGATTCACTGCCTTATCTGCATTCCTGGGTGCTTGGCCGCTATCCTCTGGAGTTGTTCAACCACCTAGAACCCTTGAAGAAAACTGACTATTATTTCCTCAGAAGCTATCAGTTGTCCCTGGGTTTTCTGTTAATGTTTGGGACTCATGGTTGTGTGGGCCAGTGATCCTGTCCAGCCCCCACCACTCCAGGCTAGAATGTTGACTGGCTTGATCATATGCAGGCTAACTACACAGCATGGCCATTGTGCGAGGGCTTATGGACTTCTTCTTTTGATGTTTTGAGACAGGGTTTCCCTGTGTATCCCTGGTAGTTCTGGAACTTGGATCTGTAGACCATGCTGGTCTTGAATCCTCAGAGACCCCACCCACTTTTTTGTCTCCCAAGTGCTGGGCATGGGGGTTCTTAAAAGAATCGTGTAAGGTTTCTTCTAAACTGTCAGCTCTGTTATGTTTTACTTCTTTATAGGTACTTGTATACTTTGGATTTCCCAGAGAGCCGAGTAATCAATCAGCCAGACCAAACCCTGGAAATTCTGATGAGTGAGCTTGACCCAGCAGTTATGGACCAGTTCTACATGAAAGACGGTGTTACTGCAAAGGATGTCACTCGTGAGAGTGGAATTCGTGACCTGATACCAGGTTCTGTCATTGATGCCACACTGTTCAATCCTTGTGGCTACTCAATGAATGGAATGAAATCGGATGTAAGTAACTAGACTCTCCAATAGTTACTTTTTCATTTGTTTTTTTCCTTTCTCTTGCTAATGACAATAAAACTTTTCTCGAAGGGAACATATTGGACTATTCACATCACTCCAGAACCAGAATTCTCTTATGTTAGCTTTGAAACAAACCTAAGTCAGACCTCCTATGATGATCTGATCAGGAAGGTTGTGGAAGTCTTCAAGCCAGGAAAATTTGTGACCACCTTGTTTGTTAATCAGGTAATTTGACTTCTGTTTTGTTTTCTTTTACCATATTAGGAACTGTATCCATGGTATTGCACATGCTAGACAAGCACTTCCCAGCCAGGAGTAACAGAGCCTCAAATTAAAGGGGATAATGGGAACCGCCGGGTGACAGCTGCGCCTGGTTAGTAACGGCGCCATTCACAGGGGCTATTGTAGGCAGAGAAACCTTACGTACTTAGGTAATTTTCAGCAGTTTTTGTTCTGCATAACACCTGTTAGCAAGCTACTGTTATACTGGTGCTCCCTGTTGGCAACAGCAGCTGACTCAAAACACACCAAAGAATCTACAACCCATGCCTGGCCTCAGAGCATGCGTGCACAAGGGCACATCCACAGTAGTCATACAAATAAGACAGTCATCATGTCCTTACTGTTTGGACTGGAAGTACTAATGTTTGTTTCCATTTTTCCCCAGAGTTCTAAATGTCGCACAGTGCTTTCTTCACCCCAGAAGATTGAAGGTTTTAAACGTCTTGATTGCCAGAGTGCTATGTTCAATGATTACAATTTTGTTTTTACCAGTTTTGCTAAGAAGCAGCAACAGCAGCAGAGTTGATTAAGAAAAATGAAGAAGAAAAAACGCAAAAAGAGAAGACACACAGGAGGTGGTGGCTGCTTTCTAGATGTTGATACTGGGGTGCGGGTTCTCCATGGCCACCACCTTGTAGTTGCAGAAAGCCCTAGGTGTAATGATAGTGTAATCATTTTGAAGTGTATGCATTATTATATCAAGGAGTTAGATATCTTGCATGAATGCTGTCTTCTGTGTTTAGGTGTCCTGTGCCACTCTTGCTGTGGAATTGAAGTGCATGTAGAGAAGAATGTTGACTGTGTGAATCTTTACGACACTTGTGACAATGATTCGATTTGGTTTATGCACAGTGTAATATTTCTGCAGGCATCGTCCAAAATCCCCCACAGACAAGGCTTTCGTCCTCATTAGATGCTGGTCTCAGCTGACCATCTGCGACTGTTCTATTAAATTGCTTCTATTCTCCTGGACAAATAAGTGCTGTTGGTTGAATGTCTGTCCCACCCGCTGTCTTGCTGTGAGAAGTGGGAGAGATGTGGCTGGAGCTCGGATCCTGTCCCAGTGATCTGGCTGCCAAGCCTGATGAGTTTGTCTTCAAGACCGACTTCCATAAGCTGTCCTACAAGGCAGCCGTGTGCGCCCCTCCTCGCAGGACATTTCTTCTATTAAGTGTGCAGTAAATGCTGGCCATAGTGTCAAGTATGAATGCATAGGGAATAAAAATGCTCTGGCACTCAGTCTGTAGGGGAAACCATCATTGAAACAATGGCTGGGCAGGCTGTGGTGGCGCACGCCTTTAGTCCCAGCATAACAGGCTGTGGCACTAAAAAGACTGACTTAAGAGGAAGGAAACGCACTTAACAAAAAATGAAGCGAGCTGAGTTAAAGAGGGTTTGGAAGGTGCTAGAGTAGTTAGATGAAAGATTAGAGGTTGTATGCTTAGCATAAAGTAGCAGTAAATAAATCAGGTGTGCTGTGAACACACTGAGGCAGCATGTGACAGGTTTTAATTCTGGTTCCTGTATATTGATTAAAACCAAGAGGGTGAGTGAACCAGAGTCCCAGCACCTAAGGTGGTTTGTAACGCCCCAGCTCCAGGAGGTCCAAAGCCTGGTTTAAGACAAAAGTCTACCAGTATTATGATTCCTCCTAATCTCGATTTTGACAAAGTGTGACCTCCCTTCAATTCATGAAAACACGCCCTAAAGAAACAGACCTCAGTACTATGCAGTGAACTAGCAACAGACTGGAGGGAGAGCTAGCATGTCCTCCAAAAGCAAGTAGTACACAGTGGTACCTGCTCTACTCAAAAGTCTTAGGACAGACAGTAAAATGAGCCTTAACAGGACTGTGCGTTTGAGGCCGGCCTGGCCTACATAGTGCCCTCCAAGACTAGATAGACCCTGTTTAAAAAGCTTTACCCCAGCACTGGAGAAGCAGATCTCTCAAGTTTGGAAGCCAGCCTGGTCTACAGAGCTAGTTCCAGGGCAGCCTCCAAAGCCACAGAGAAACCCTGTCTCAAACAATAATAAAATAAATGCACGCAGGAGGATATACAGAACACTAGGAGCAGGACAGGCTCAAGGCGTTCGGGTTTTCAGAGTGTTAGCTGCTGAGTTTCAGTGCAATCGCAGGGGAATGGAGAGATGATTCCATAGCTAAGAGCACAAGACCTAGGTTTGAGTCTCAGCCCCTGCATGGCAGGTCACAGTCTACTGCGACTCCAGTTCCTGGTGAGCCTATGCCCTCCTTTGGTCTCTGCAGGCACCAGGCATGCAACTATTGTATATACATGCAGGCAGAACGTGCATACATGTAAAATCAGTCGATCATAAATGCAGTCTAAATGGAAACAACTATCCAACACTGAGAAGAGAGTGGGGTGCAGCAAGGACATGGAGCTGTACAACATGCTCACAATAGCTGGAGATCATTGAACACCGGAAAGGAACGCCACCCATTTGTGGGACAGTATTGGAAAAAGTCCCAGGGCCAGGGCCTGAAGGGCAGACCCCAGATGCTCCTAAAGACCCCACCAACACCCACGTGGGGAGCCTCAAAGACAAGGTAGATGCGTACTTGCCTGGCAATGAGCAGGCTGCCATCTGGGCATTTCATGACCCCTAGCTCAGACTGTTAATCCCGAAGATGAGCTAATGACTAGATATACTCTTGACATCTAGTAGACAAGAGTTACAAGGATGAGACCCCCCCAGGGAACCACAAACAAATGAAGATCGGTCAGTAACCCCTCACTACATGCAGAGTGAGCTCGACAATTGGACAACGTGGACTGTGGTAGCATTCTAGACTAGGTGTAAGTCACACCCATCAACACCATTCTACCCCACTCCTGGAAGAAATTCTCAATAGCTAGAAAAAGCCCAGAATGGGCTCCTACTCCTTCAATCCCAGCACCTTCAGGAGGCAGGGGTAGGTGGATCCTTGTGAGTTCAAACCCATTCTGGTCTACATAGTGATTTTTCAGGCAAGCTAGAACTATATAATAAGACCTGTCTTGAAGAAAGAAAAACAGTTGGGTAGTGGTGGCTCATACCTTTAATTCCAGCACTAGGGAGGCAGAGGTAGGTAGATCTCTGTGAGTTCGAGGCCAGCCTGATCTACAGAGCTAGTTCAAGGACAGCCGGAACTGTTCTACAGAGAAACCCTATCTCTAAGAACCAAAAGAAAGAGATACGATGTCACCTTTTCCTTAAAAGAATCTAAAGATTTAAGGGTGTGGGAGTGCACACGCACACCCCCTAAGCTCTGGTACCTGAAGAGGCTAGAGTTACAGGCAGTTGTGAGCCACTCCACACTCTTTGAGAGCATGTGCTCATTCTGAACCTCTGTGTTGTCTCTTCTGGCCTAACGTGTGTTCCGTTGGATGTGTGCCAACAATGCTGCAACGGAGCTGTTGAAAACTCCTGAAAGTTAAATACTGTGATCAAGAACTCCCCGAGAAGCTGTGTCTGCAAAGACTGGAGCTCCAAGGATGTGGAGAGGTTGGGATGTTGCAGGTCCAGACCCTAATTACCTTATCTTAGGCTAGCTTTAGCTCTGCAAATAACCATTCTTTCCCTGGCCCACCTCTGTGTTGGAACTAACATGCTGTGACTAATAGATTTCTTTTTTTAATCTTTTGGGACCCGTTAACTTAGCAGACCACTGACTTCCACAACTCAAAAGCTAAGAATGTCATCTAACAGCAGCCGAGGCCTATGTGCTCGCTGATGTATTTTAACCTGCCTTGATTAGAGCTGGCTTTGTTCTGAAAAATGGTAACAACTTCATGAAATTGCTTCCATGTTGAAACATGGAATTTGGAGTATCCTCAATCTGTGTTCCCAGACCATGGTCACTGGAAATTTAATTCCCAAAACAAAATATATTCCCCCCCCTCTCTCCGCCTCCCTCCCTCCCTCGTGTTTTTTGGGGGAAGGATTTCAGGTAGCCCAGGCTGACCTTGAACATGCTAAGTAGCTAAAGCTGGCCTTGAACCTTGGGCCCTCCTGCTTCTAACCCCCATTTGAGCACCGTGCTTGTTAAAATCCCTGATTAAGTTGACCGTTCTCCTTTTCACAAAATGCTTTTCACCGTCCAAATTTTGTTTGGAACCCAGTGGAGCGATCGGATTTAAAATGTGGTGCAGGCTGTCCTGTCAGAGTGTGTTAGTTGTACAAGAGTGCACAAAACCCCTGCGGCCTGTGGGTGGAGGTTGGCCACCACCGAACCTGTTTAACACAGAGTCTATTGTAAGGAGTGAAACTGCCTGGGGCACTCTGTGAAACCTTATCTGGAGATTTTTGATAGCTGAGTTTTTCCCACATTAGCCAGAGGCCAACAATCCTTTCAATTCCCTTATTTTCAAACAAGCACCAAAACTTCACTGGTCCCTTCCCCTGTGTACCCATGCACACACATACTTTTTCTTCAAATATCAATTTAGTAGACATGTCAGTACATTAAAAGTGTGTTGAACCTCTCCATTCCCTGGCGTCTGCTTGCCATTTTATGCTCATTTAATTTTCCTGTTGACTCATACATAGAGTGTGCATATTGAACACATAAGCATGTACATTGTACAAAAGGGTATACAGTGAAGTGTCCCTCACCACCGTCCCCTACCCACACTCTTTCTCTCAGATGTGACCCGTTTGGCCATTGCTGGTGAGTTCTAGGAGTTTGCCCACGGTGTGTATACCGGCAAGGCGTGTGTGTGTTTTGTACACAGCATGGAAAGTTAGTGTCTCGGTTTACAAAGGAAACAACAAAGGTTAAATCATTAACAGGCTCATGTTTTAAATTCAGCTAAGTTTGCTGGTCTCGGGACTCAGGCCTTTAACTGCAGCAGCTGGAAGACTGAGGAAGGAGAACTCTGAGTTTGGGTTATTTAGTGATCACCTGTTTCAGAAGACATACGGTCTTCTGTATCCTGTAACAAAATAAAAACAAATGTCATCTCAAAAGAAATAAGAATTATCTGATTCTGGAGCCAAATATTTTAAGTGGCTATGGCCTGGGAACACAGATACCAGTCATCCACCTGCCTCTGCCTCCTGAGTGCTGGGCCCTCTCTCCCTCCTCCCTCTTTCAACGGGGGCTCTCTCTTAAGTAGTTCCTGGCTGTCCAGGGACTTGCTATGTAGATCAGGCTGACCTCAAATTCACAGAGCTGCACCTGCCTTTGCCTCCTGTACCCTAAGATTTAAAGCATGGCCAGGCCACTATGCCAGCCTCTGTCTCTATTTCGATATTTTAAGTTTTTACATAATTTTCTATTGTAAGTTTTTGCATAATTTTCAGTTGTGTGTATCCTGACTACACTGTTTTAAGTGCACTATGCTGCCAGCAACATAGATGAGTGTCCTTCCACAGTGTTACACTGAGGTTGGGAGATGGCCCAGCAGTTAAAGGGCACTGACTTCCCTTCCAGAGGATCCTAAGTTCTCAGCATCCATGTTGGACAGCTCACTCTGCCTATAACTCTAGGTCCAGAGGGATCCAACAACCTCTGGTCTCTGGGAACACCTGCACTCACATATACACTTAAAAATAAAGTAAATATTTTTTTAAAAAATTACTGAATAAGAGTAAATTTACAAGATTTAGCCATTTCCATAACAGCATACTCATAACATAATCGGCCCACCTTGGTAACCCTGGCTGAGGCAAACGCTGGTTCTTTTATTCCATTTTTTTAAACAATTTATTTATTGTATTATTTTGTGTGTATAGACATGTTTCCAGCACTATCTGTGCACTGTGTGCATGTGTGGTACCCTCAGAAGTTGTGAGCTGCCATGTGGGTGCTGGGAATCAAACCCGGATCCTCTACAAGAGCACCAAGTGCTCTTAACCACCGAGCCAACTCTCCAGCCTCTGACCTTTCTTCAAAGATTATTTTATTTGTATTTATGTGTGTATGTCCGTGCCAGTATATGTCATGTG